TGGAATGGGGTGTCTAGAAACCATTCTTTTTGCATAAAGGCCTGTTGGGAGACTTTTGTATGTGAACAAATAACCTTGGTAAGTCAAATACATCTTCAGCAATATGAAAGAAATGTAAGTTTCTCTTTTTTACTGGTCCTAGAGGAAGCTTAACTGTCATGGTCACCAATGTTTTCTGACTGTAAACATGCTAAATCCAACAGGACTGAATATGCAGCAAATAGCTGCCTTTTTTGTATTTAGAAAATCTTCACTTCATATTCTGTCTGTATCCTTGTCTCATACTTAGAATTTAAGCTCTTTGAGGTAGGGTCAGTCTTCTTTTTGTATAGTACCTAGCACAGTAGGGTCCTGGTTCATGACTGGAGTTCCTAGGTGCTACCACAGTGCAAATAATTAATAGAAAATAAATTTAAAGATTTGATATATGAGCAAAGTTTTGATAGGTGAAGTCTTGTACGAGGGTTGCAGACTGAAAACTACAGTACAGGATTTCAGTTCTGAAGATTTCATGGTATGCTGCTGCAGAGCTAATTATAAGCTGCTGCTTGGCAACGTCTGTAAACATCTTGTCACAGTTTTTGCCTGATCAGGACTGGTGCCCACAACTCTGCCCAGAATGAGATGACTAACGCAGCTGCAAGTTCTGCTCCTCCCGCAGTGAGTCATCATCACATTCAAGTTTCTCTGCTTAAAACTTAAAAAAAGAAGTTTTTGCAGAGGTATAAAGGAAACATAGATTTAAGAGGAATAAAGAAGTTTTCACTTTCTCCTGCGCTGCTTGTTAGTAAATTGTTTTTCTTTTTTGGTTCTAGCTGTTCGTGACATTCACTATTTTGGGGGGGAAAAAAAAAAAAGACTGTCAGAATGTGGGATATGCAGTAGATGTTTTTAGTCTTGGATCACTGTATGTTGACAGGAGGCAAATAACTGAATTGGAAACAAATGCCAGTGAGCTCCGAACAGCAGTTCCTAGGTTTAAACTTCAAATAAAAATAAAATTGTGCAAAATACTTTAAAGTGTTGCTTTTACTAATTGCATATGTGCAGACCTACCTACCATGGCACTAGTCCCTCATGGCTGAGTAGCAGATATTCCCATCCTTCTTATAGGTCCACTGAAGGAGGGGGGAAAATGGAATTATTGGTGGGGTATAGAACTTAGCCAATTAGTTCATTTTATCATCCATTTATCATTGTGTTATTTGGCGTTATGGTTAATTCATATGCTATTTCATAGATACTCAATGTATGCTAAATAGATTTAAATTATAGGATAATAGAAGTGTAAGACTGACAATTACACCTCTACCCCGATATAACGCGACCCGATATAACACGAATTCTGATATAACGCGGTAAAGCAGTGCTCCGGGGGGGCGGGGCTGCGCACTCCGGCGGATCAAAGCAAGTTTGATATAATGCGGTTTCACCTATAACGCGGTAAGATTTTTTGGCTCCCGATGACAGTGTTATATTGAGGTAGAGGTGTATTTAGGAGTTATGAATGTGTGTTAGGTATACAAGTAAAGCATGGCAGGAATACAAGACCTATAAGCTGAGACCTGTAAATTTTTAGCTTAGTCATACTAGGCCAGGTTTAAGAATGCTTGACATTAGTGGGTGATCTAGGAATAATCTTATGCCAGGAAGGTCACAAGATCACTATAAAAGATGTGCTCGATGTTACAAAAAACTAGATTGCAATACACTGCAGGGTATTGTTCAAGATCATGAGACACCGGATTGTTAGATCATGGAATGTCCTGTCGTGACCGCAGCATACATGTTGTGCATAGATGCTAATAAGAATAAGCGAAAGTAAGAAACAGCCTATGACAAATGGGGCACTTCAATATTCATGGGGTATAAGGAAAACCCTCATGCATCTGCATAAGGTGTTGGGTGTGATCAGAATAACAATATAAAAGAGGTTCCCTGGTTGGGTAAAAGTTGGGAGACTCCCACTGGAAACCCCAGCAGGAACCATCCCTCTATTGACAATAATCTGTTGAGAGGTCCATCGGGGACCTTAGGATATCTTTGAGGATGTGAGTATGACTACAGCCTTAGTCATTGCATGGGTTTTTGTAGGATTTATATATGTATGGGTAATTGTAACTTTATTGCTTTAATAAAACTTGTAGTACAGATAAGACTTTAAACTTGTGATTGTGTTTGTGGTCACTATCCTTGGACTTTGTGTGTTCCTGGAGTCTCCAAATTTGAGAAAAACACCAGAGGTGATTGAGCTTGAAACTGTAGCAACAGCAGCTGAACTCATGGTAGCTTAATACAAAATTACTAAATTCAATTTAAATTTAAAAAAAGCTACAGGAGAATAGGAGTGATATTAAATATAACTATAGGGAATTGTGTAACCTGCTTGGGACAAGCTGTTTTACTCTCTGTGGAGATGCATCATAATACATCCTCAATCTCAGCCTGTATTCTTGCTCACGACCAAAGCAGGAGCTCCTCTAAATCAGTTGTCTCATGCCAGCTTCTGCAGTGGAATGTAGTTACCACTAGCTCTAGCTGTCATTTCCTTTCCCACCCCGTTCAGTGAAGAAGCTTCCATGAGTCACAGCAACAGAGTTCCATTTCAATGTCTGGCCCTCTTCAGTGGCCTTCAATTCATCAGCCCTTCAAAGCTTTATATTTGCTCAGAAATAGCTTTTGCCTACCTAGTGCTTCAGATGTTATATTTTTAAATTTATTTTCCCAGCTATCTCCAGCAATTGGCATAGCCTGTGTCAGTCAGGGCATCAAGGCTGGCAGCTTCTGCTCTTTTAGAGGGGCTAGGTTTTTTCCCCCTAGCTTTCTGCTCATATGCTTGAGAACACTTGCAACTCATGGATTTGTATATTGTGTGTATGGAGAGGAGGTAGCACAGCAGTTTCAAAAAGTGCTCTAATGCTGCACTATGCCTCTCATAGACAGACATAATTGATGCATTCTTGATCCTTATGGTTTCCAGTACTAGTTGCTTCAGAGGAAATTCCATGAAATGCTATCCATGGACAATTATAAAATAACCTTTTTTTCCTCCATTTGTGCTGGGAAAGAAGCTTGCAATCTTCTCCTTAGTATCTGAACCTCATCCCAGTCATTCATAACTCTCAGCTCAGAATTGGAGTATTGCAGTGCATTCACCACTGGGGCCAGATTTTCATTTTGAAAAAAGGTTGACATCTGGGGATCCTGAGCTATTGAAAATCTGGCCCTAAACAGGACTATATCTGAAGACCTCTCAGTAACTTCAGTCAGTACAAGATAAGACTTCCTGCTTTAAGTGGTTACCCAGAGCATATCATACATGCCCAGCAGTCAAAAAGAGGCTTCAGTCTTATTTGTGGGTGATGTTTACAAGTGAAAATGATAAAACCTTAGCATTACAGTACTTTTTTGGATCTTGGCTCTCTTAGACTGTGTCTCCCCCTCATGGGCGAACCACGGCAGAGGCAATGAGCTGAGATGCTCAAACGAACAGTTCCTTTGTGTTAAATGTCAGGTGATGGCGGAGGCAGGGAGCTACCAGTGAATAGTCCTCTTCTCTGCAATTGGTATCTCCCCTCCAAATATACCTTTTACTCCACCAAAGCCTAGATTTAATTTAACTATTCCTCATGTGATGCTTTTTGTGCTTCACATAAAGTGTTTTAAGTTTTTTGCCTGTCTGGGTTAGGTCCCATTTTCTGGCTATTTTGACTTTCTGCGTGCCCATTGGAAACAGGCCAGTTTATCTGCAGACCCTAAATGGAAGAGATTCTCTTTGCAAGATGGATAAGCTTCAGCCTTTGTAATCCACTTTTATGCTGAATTCCTAAGATGGTATGGATGCATCTTGCATACCTTTCTAAGGTGGTGTGAGTTCCCGCCGAATCATTCTGGCAATATGTCTCATGTGCACGCCCACTCCTATGAAGTAGTTTTTCCATGAGCTGGGTGTTTAAAAGGTCCCATAGCATTTTTCAGGAGTGGAGTAAAGGAAAGTGGGTAGTGAGAAGATCCTCTCCTCTCTCTGCCTCTCACCCCTGTGGAGACTTGGAATACCTGCCTTGGCTGTGCAAGAGCCCAGCCACAAACCCAGTGCATTCATTATGATGGTTATCTTCAGAGAGCAACTACAATTAAGAGCTTTTTTCTTCCACCCCTTCAGATTGCCTATTTTTGTCTGTTTCAAATGTCTTCTGTTCTAAGGCTACGTCTGCACTAGGAGCTGGGGGTGTGATTTCCAGCTTGCATAGACATACTCGTGCTAGCTCTCATCAAGCTAGCATGCTAAAAATAGTAGCCTAGCTGCGATAGCATGGCAGCAGGGAGTGGTGTGCCAAGTACATACTCCCAGGGTCCAGGGCAGCTAGCCTATGCCACTCCTTGCCGCTGTCTGTGCTACCGCGGCTACACTACTACAGTAGAACTTCAGAGTTACAAACACCGGAGTTGTCTCTCGCTCCCCCAGTCCCTGCTCACAGCACTGCTCTGTCGAGGATGCTGGCAGTTCTCTCAGCCCTCCAGAGACACAGTCCTTCCTCCCAGGGCTCCCAGCAGAGAACTGCCCTCCTCTGCCCTGCAGCTCCCTTTTGATATGGGCCTGCTTGGCCCTGATGGGCTGCTCCCTTCAGCCCTTCTCTGATTGGCTGCCTCTGGCACAACTTCCCTAGGTTGACTTTAAACCCTTTTCTGCCAGTGATGGGTTGTCTGCCCCTCACGGGGAAGAATGCATTTACTCCATGGAAGACTGTCTGACCTTACTGAGATTGTCTGCAGATAGGGCCCTTATAATAATCCCATATCCCTTCTCTTCTAAAGGAGTGTTTTGGGGGGAAGCACTTTTGCTTCCTGCCCACGGTACTGAGAAACTCCCTCTATTTTAGCTGCATGTGGGGCAACATTGATCAGGATCAGAATGGCGTATTTCAGAGTGAGAAAGGTCTCTCCTCATTCTGCTGCTAATTTCTGGCTTTTTTTGTGTGTGTGTGTGTGTGTGTTGATAGGTGAAGACGACTTTAACTTAGAAGATGCATTAGGCCCCGGTAAGTAATATGTTCTTGCAAAAATCCCTTCTTGTGCGATTTTTCTATATATAGTGTTTAGCATTAATGTTAAAACATAATTTAAATGCTTAGGACCAGATTCTGACATCCATACTGAACATGCGTAACACCTTTCTCCATGAGTAGCTGTATTAACTTCTCTGGCACAATTTAAGGTATAAGGTGCTAGTTAGTATGACTAAGAGTGTACCAGAACCTGGACCACATAGAAGTAGAGCAACCTGCCTGGTGGCAATACTTCAATGTTTAAGGGCAAATCATACAACTATAGAAGACTTAAAAAATTATTGGTCTAATACTTTCACTTATTTTAAAAGGAAATCTGTTTAAACTTGTTCTCTAAGTATCTTTGTGCAATGTATTCATCAGCAACGTTTCAATTTGTATTAACGTCTATGTCCTTGACATACCAGAGCCTACAAAGAAGCCTGGTTCAGCTACCAAAAAGCCGGAGTTGGGTGAGTAGTGATTAAGTTGGCACATAATGCATCTTACGGTAAATGCTTTATTGTGATTTTAGATGTGTACTTACTGACAAAGAATCATGGTTACACATTGCTGTATATCTGAGATAAATTATCCCAATGTGTCTTTTTTTTTTTTAAAAGTGCACATTTCAGGCCTCTTTGGGGACAAGCTGAGGATCAAATAATAGAACCAAGCTGTCTTTAATAATACAGTGACTCCTCACTTAACGTCGTCCCGGTTAACATTGTTTCGTTGTTACGTCGCTGATCTATTAAAGAACATGCTCGTTTAAAGTTGTGCAATGCTCCCTTATAATGTTTGGCAGCCGCCTGCTTTGTCCACTGCTTGCAGGAAGAGCAGCCCATTGGAGCTAGCTGGTGGGGGCTTGGAACCAGGATGGACCAGAAACCCCCCATCAGCTTCCCTAAGTTCCCTGTGTGGCAGCCGCCCAGCAGACGATCAGTTGCCGGGCAGTTCAGGTGTCCCACCCCCCACTTCCATGTGCTGCTCCCGCCCTCTGTCTTGGAGCTGCTCCCAGGATCCTCCTGCTTGCTGTGCAGGGAGTGGGGGTGGAAAGAGTGGGGCTAATGTCAGGGAGTCCCCCTCCCCCCGCTCCTTTACCCCATCTCCACAAAGCAGGGGCAGGGGACACCACAGGGCTCAGGACAGAGGGAACTGCTGTCTCAACTTGCTGATCTACTTAAAAAGGCAGTGTACTTAGAATGGTGTCAACGTACTTAAAGGTGCAATGCGTGTCTCACTCTCTCTCTCTCTCTCTCTCTCACACACACACACACACACACACACAGTGTGTGTCTCTGTCTGTCTCTCTCTCACACACACACATGCACCCCCCAGCACTTTGGAAAGTAGAGGGAGTGGTGCGCTCCAGTGGGATAGCGTAGGTTCATCATCATGTTCCGTTTCCACAGGCAATGTTTGCAGGCATTGCCATGCGTCTGTTGTGTCTCCTCCCTCCATTTGTGCTGCCTTGTAGAGTGTGAGGCTACATTAACAACAATGTGTTAACCCTTGAGGGCTCAGCCGAGTGCTAGTTCATCATTTAGCAGTAAGGTATTCCCTGGGAACTATCCCACCCTCTTCCACCCTCTGACTCCACCACCTCAACCAAGCTTCACAATCATCATTGCTGTGTACAGTATTAAATTGTTTGTTTAAAACTTACACTGTGTGTGCGTGTGTGTGTGAGTGTATAAATATATATATGAAAATTTTGTCTCTGAAACCTAACCCCCCCATTTACATTAATTCTTATGGGGAAATTGGTTTCGCTTAACATCATTTCGCTTAAAAGTAGCATTTTTCAGGAACATAATTACACGTTAAGCGAGGAGTTACTGTAATAATGATTTTTTTAGGCTTTAGGCAGTGGCATGGCAAAACTGAGTTATTGGCTGGCAAATCTTTTGGTGATGTCATACATACCTCAGTCTGCAGGGAACACATTTGTCTCTGACATTTGCTGAACCACCACATTGAAATTGTATTTTACTATATCTCAGGGTTAAATTGTGGCTTAACTAGCATGGTGGAATAAGAGCATAAGGACACCCTAGCACCTTTTTGCTGGCTACATGCATTGCAGATAGTAGGGAAAGCAGGCTACACAAAGCTACTACTTCTCCCCCCTAACAAAGGTGGGTGAGAGGGGCAGAATATAGGCTTCACCCTCTCAACCTGCTTGGTGGCATAGCTGTGCTGGGGATATATGCTGCAACAAATACAGTGCAGTTACTGCCTCCCTGGAGTCAAGGGGGAAACCAGGAGGAGGGATACTGAGACTGAGTCACAATCTCCCTCTTTTGCTTCTTTGGGGGCAGTGCAACAACACGCTGTCCCTTGCTCAGGACTAGATGTTAGTCATGATCTAGTCCATAATCAGGAAAACAATAATTAGAGCCTTCAGAATGTGCATTTAGATTTATCAGTGAATTAAAAAAAACTCCATTAAAAGAAGTCTCTTAAAAACAAATGCACATGCAGCCTCATTGGGGTTTTGTACTAGCTAGCAAAATGGGACGAGCAGGATGGTCACAGCCCTAAGATTTGCTCGCAACCCATGAATTAGACTATAACAATGCATAATAAATATGTAGCTCTTGTATATCACTTGTCATCAGTAGACCTCAAAAGTGCCTTGCGAAGGACATCTGTGTCATTATCCCCATTCTACAGATGGGGAAGCTGAGAGCTTGCTAAGCACTTTGAGGTCTACTCATGAAAATGTAAGAGCTGGGTATTATTATTCTGAGTTGTTAGAGCCTAGTACATGGGTTGCGGGCAAACCTTGTGGCTGTGACCACCCTGCTCATCCCATTTTGCTAAATGGAAGGGGGATCCTCAGAGGTAAGTAGGGAATCCTACTAAGTAGAACCATGGAATGTTAACCTGTATATTTTGTATACTGAAGCCTTCATAATTAGAGTGTCCTGCAGTGGGCCCTGGGGGTTGCCTGGGCAGAGCTCATTGCAAGATCAGGTCTAAAAGATATCCAAGGAACAACTTCATGGCTTTTTAAAATAGGGATGATGGCATTAGATTGAGGTGAGTTAGAGCTTGTAGGACTACTGGAAGAAGTGAATATCAAGAGGGATTTGATTAAAGTGAGGTCAGTGCCACGCACAGAAATTGATGTAGTAGAATTTGGTATTGAGGATCCATGAGTTTCTGCTGTTGAGTTAGAGGCCTCGTTTGAGTGCATTAATGGCTTTGGGTTTTTTTGTTTTTCCAAATGTCTTTTGATTAGTTGGCTTTGGGGATGTTTCATCACCTTATTTTTTCACTAGATAGCACTAATTGACTAATATACCATTCCTAGAAGTGGTTGTAATTTGAAAATATTACCTTTCTAATCACTCCCTAGAAAGAAGGGGGGAGGGGGATAATATGCTCTTTATGCCTGGAAGTGGGAGTCTGTTGTCAGAAAGGAAGCCTTTCCCTTTCCTCTGGGATAATCTCTTTGCAAAGTCTATAATGTATTTCAGCTAAGTCACATGAGCAAACTGCAATATCCTTGCAACACTCTCACTAGTGAAGTGGAACATAGTTTGGCAGGTAGTGTCTGTTAACTCTTTAAATTGCTGAACAACACCCATAAAAGCTGGTATCACACTAGCATTGCTGTGCTTCAGCATTACTGGCAACTGTTGGGAAGGGGGAAGCTTGTCTGTGGGAACTAACAAAGGGCACAGAATTCCAGAACTGTAACAATGTTTGTTCCTTTAGTTCATTTAGTCATAGAAGAGGCATGGTGTTATACAAGGCCATGAATGCCTCTGTTAGAAGGATCTTGGTCAATTATATGCAAGTATTGAAATCTGTAAAGTTATTGCCTGGTTAGGATGCAGGCTCTTTATGTGAAAAGTTGCTCAGGTTATACATCATGGTTTTCTAGGACATTGGATACACTTGTGACTTTAAATCTTTAATTATCACTACATCAAAATGCTCAACCTTACTGTTCAAATTTCATGACATTTTAGGGCATTGGAGTGGCAAAGTAAATCACCATATTTATTTGTTTCCTTTTTTCTTTTACTGTTTCTTGTAAATGAAAAAAAAAAGTCTTCATTTTTATAGAATTGCCAGTCAGAACAGATGAACTGGTGGCCTTTATTAGTTAATTGCATGTTTGTAGAATCAACTGTGTGTGTAAGTTGTATGCATAGTACACACTCCATGTGCATTTATTGCTGTGTGTATATATAAATAAAATGAGATGAGGTTGTCTTGGGGTCTTGCTAATTTTAAATGTTCATAACTAGAATGAACTCAAAATGAACCGATTTTCTTCTTCACATGGATTGATTTATTTTTTTTGAGACTGAGACCTACAAAGCTGCCAGTCTGAAATAAATTCAGTTCCATAGTCTTAAAGTTGATGCATACTTGATGCTAGCTACCTAGTTTTAAAAATTCCACGTTAGTGCCCAGGCCTGCTCCCCATTCTATTCAATAGGAGTTTTGCTATTGACTTCAGTGGGAGCGGGAGCAGGCCCTAAACTTCAGACACACAAATCGAAATGAGGTGTGATAGTTGGAAATAGAAGGGTTCGCAAGAGATTCTTATTTACAATCTTGAACACAGTGGATGAAGTCAGCTGCCATAATATTAGTAAACATAAGTTATGGAGGGGCTTTTGGGGGGTGAGGGGAGGAAGACAGAGAAACATGGGAAAGGTGGGTATAGATTATTCAGCTTGTTTCTGCACTTTACTCATTTGCAATTTTAACTCTTTTTCCCCCTAACAATATTTGTCAATAGATGACCACCCAAAA